TCAACATTTTTTGACCTTGACCTTTCTTTTGACCTTGACCTCACTTTTCTTAGATTAGTGTTCAGCTCAGTTTTAAAGAAACCATTCAAAAAATTTTTAAAAAAATTTATATGCAGATACATACTGATGAGAGCTATTCAACTGCATCAACATTTTTGGACCTTGACCTTTCCTTGACCTCACTTTTCTTAAATAAGTTTTTAGCTCAGTTTTAAAGATACCATTCAAGATAGTGTTATCAAACTTCATATGCTGATTCATACTGATGAGAGCTATTCAACTGCATCAACATTTTTTGACCTTGACCTTTCTTTTGACCTTGACCTCACTTTTCTTAAATTTGTGTCAAACTTCATATGCTGATACATACTGATAAGAGCTATTCAACTGCATCAATATTTTTTTCACCTTGACCTTTCCTTTGACCTTGACCTCACTTTTTCTTAAATTAGTGTTTAGCTCAGTTTTAAAGAAACCATTTCTAATATTTTTATCACACTTCATATGCTAATACATACTGATGTAACCTTTTCAACTGCATCAACAATTTATGACCTTGACCTATCCTTTGACCTTGACCTCACTTTTCTTAAATTAGTGTCAAACTTTATATGCTGATACATACTGATGTAAGCTATTCAACTGCATCAATATTTTTTCACCTAAACCTTTCCTTTGACCTTGACCTCACTTTTCTCAATTTGTGCTTTACTTATATACCCTAGGCGGGGCATTCATGTCCTATGGACATATTTCTAGTAATGTTTTATTTTAGTCAGAGCATCACCAAAATTAAATTTGAGCTGTGTCAGAAGGGACATCCGACAAAAAGTAGTCTTTCTCAAGGCCTTCTTTATTGATGTGGAATACATGACTATTTAATTGCAGAAGGTAACTCATGTACATATCTAATCGTTCTAATGAGGAGACATACAAATTATCATTAATGTGATGCATTTTTGTCCAGCTAAATGTATTCGTAAAGACCATTTATGGGCTTAGCTGTTCAAGAATGATTAATGTTCAAACATACTGGCATGGCTCTGGATTTGAGAGATATTAACTCCAGAAAGACTCTATCAAGTAGCAGATTTTTATTTTCTGTCACAATTTTTGTTTAAAGATATTTAAGGTTCTAAACAACTATTCTGCACAGGGCTTAATTAATAACCCTTGCATCCAGGTCCTGTAAAAGAACCCTGTCCCAACTGCAATTTACTCTTTTTTCCCAAAATGTAGGCAAAGTTTCCCAAATGACAAGCAGATTAATTTTCTAGTGCCTTTTATATATTAAAAAAATTGAATTTTTGATTTTGACAACTCATACAGATGGGAATATTGTATAAACCTTCAACTGAACTCTCTATTCAACAGCAAAACATATAAAACCTAAATATCTCCAAATTATGACACTTTTTCGATTTTAAATTTCCCACTGGAAAGGGTTTAGGATCCTGTACCAAAAAAGGTCGATTATCCACTGCTGCAGTATGCACTGTTAATGTTCACAAATCTTCCTGGAAACAGAATTTTTCTTATCTTCATTAATTGAATAAAATTACCTATAAATAAAATTACCTATGAATAAACTTAATAGAAAATAATACATGGCAAAATCTGTATCACACCCCCACTTGCTGTGGCGTTCAACTCGACATTTAGATATATCGACGACGTATTGTCAATCAACAATGGCTATTTTCATTCTTATGTCGATACGATATATCCTGGTGAACTTGAGATAAAAGATACCACAGAGTCTGACACATCTGTTTGATATTTGGATATTTTACTTGAAAAAGACGTTAATGGTAATCTAACAACCAAGCTTTATGATAAACGTGATGACTTTAACTTTTCAATCGTCAACTTCCCTTACTTATGCAGCAATATACCTTCATCACCTGCATACGGGGTATATATCTCTCAGTTGATTCGATACGCAAGAGCATGCTCTACGTATGTACAATTTCTAAAACGAGGTAAATTATTGACAAATAAGTTGATGAAACAAGAATATCAGCTGTCTCGTTTAAAGTCATCATTTCGTAAGTTCTTTGGTCGATACAATGACCTTGTCAGCAAATACAATTTATCATTGAGTCAAATGCTGACTGACGTTTTTCATACTAATTGTTAGGCCATTATTTACACACTGAATTGTCGACGGATTTTTCCGTTATTTCATGACAAGGAGCACACGGCGGGTGTGACCGGTCGGCAGGGGATGCTCACTCCTCCATGGCACCTGATCCCACCTCTGATGTTTGGAGGTCTGTGTTTGCTCTGCTCCTATTTTGTATTGTATAATGGACTTTTGAGCTTGAATACTGTTCGTTATCTCCATATATTTCATTTCTACAGGTAAGGAATCTAGGAGTGGGGGGTAGGGTATCACCCAAGGTCTCCATTGAGTTAACTGCAATACAGCCAGGACTGCTCCCAACTTTGACATGGAAAAGTAAAAGTCAAAAATATTTTGATTCTGTAAAACTGTCATCTTAGTCATCTTTTTGTAAACATGAATTTCTACAATTTGATTGCTGGGATCTAAAAAATACATAAAATAAAAAAATATTATTTTAAACAATAACTAACTTAATACCATAAAATTTTAAAAATAAAGGCTAGTCAACAAAAATTATTTCAATTTCACAGATGCTAACAACTGCAATTAAGAGTTTAGATTCCTCTGCCCTTTATTCCCATGAGATATAGATAACACCAGTTTGATCAGAGATTCAGTATACTACAGTTTAACTTTGTTATCTCGAACAATGGTATCTAAATTACCATGGTTATGTCAAAGACATTTTGATGTCTCATTACTAACAGAAGTATTTTATTTTTGATATCTCGAATCCTAGGATATCTCATGGTTTTTTCCTCAGTCCTATTGAGTTTGAGATAATGAGATTTGACTGTATTATGACACTGGGTACAATCCTACCTATTTTAGCAACTTACTCTGTTACAACATTCTCTAATGTGAGCACGGACAGCCCTTGATGCTGCTCTCCTCTTTCTTCTTGGTCTCACTACCTGCCTAGTAGTAAATTAATAAACACAGACTGTGTGAAAATTGGATCATCTGTATACCTCACTATCATGAGAAAAGAGAACACTTCTAATGTATGGCATGTCAAACGTTGCAATATTCCATCTTTTCTATTTGTATTGTATAATTTTCCATTTGTATTGTATATTTTCCATTTGTATTGTATAATTTTTCATTTGTATTCTATATTTTCCATTTGTATTGTATAATTTTTCATTTGCATTGTAAAATTTATCATTTATATTGTAAAAAAATCATTTGTATTGTATAATTTTTCATTTGTATTCTATATTTTCCATTTGTACTGTGTAATTTTTTATTTGTATTCTATATTTTCCATTTGTATTGTACAATTTTTCATTTGCATTGTAATTTTTTTATTTATATTGTAAAAAAAATTCATTTGTATTGTATAATTTTTCATTTGTATTCTATATTTTCCATTTGTATTGTATTCAAGAGATTGTTTATTTGTTTCGTTACGAAGGATTTCATTGGTCAATTTTAACCCATACCATCTTGAAAACGCGCGAGATGTTCCGGATGAATAGGGGACTAGTTTAGTAGTTGAAACATAGCCACGAGGGAATCAAGCTTCATAAGAACTAAAGAAGTACGAAATAAGACACTGTAAGTGAACAGAAATTTGAGAAACGATAATGGCACAATTATAAAATAGATAGAGACTTATGCCTAACCGTTGTTGCCTGGAAATCGAATCATTTTTTTCTATACCGGGAGATAAGTCATTAAGTGAGCTGGTGAGTGCGTGGTCAGCACATGACATTTTTAGCAGGGCATAAAAAAAAAATAGAAAACTGAAGTATCTCGCTAAAAGGGAATCATTCTTTTTTACAGTTATAAAAAAAATACCGTTTACGAGAATCAATTTAAAATTTCCCAATGATAATCATGATAATGTGTTTTCTTTAAAAAGAGGGCTAAGTGTAACGTTATATCAGATCTGGTGCAATCAGCTACGTAGCATGAATTACCTACCGTAGCTTTATTTAGCTACTTGAGGTAGTTTTATTTAGCTATTTCAATGCAACTTTTCACAATTTTGCTTTCTATGTAAAATAGACAAAAAATAGCAAGTATATGACTATAAATATTTTTACTAGGGAGTTTTAAAAAAGCAATCCAAGACAAAGATAGTTTGAACATTGTTGCTTTTTGATCACTTTTAAGTAAAAAACATATATCCATTGTTCGATTAACAGTACACCACTTTGTGTGTGGTGAGACATGGACAAGTAATGATTACTTCACATGGTGCTGAATTATAACAAACAATTATCATGTTAACTAGAACTGGTCTTCTTTGTTATTTCATTCAACAAGTAACTGTTTGGTCACAAATTAACTGTTGTATATAGCCCCAGAACTTTAACAACTTTCATTGCAATTGTGCTGAATTCTTTCTAAACTGCTAAAGATGGCCGATGATATATACATGACCATTGTGCACAAAGGAAAAGTCTATTTACATGACCATTGTGTGAATAGCTATTGCATATTGCCTGATATATATATATATATATATATATATATATATATATATATATATATATATATATATATATATATATATACACTGCATCCAGAGCATGCTTTAAATCCATAACATGGTAAATGGAATGTTGTAAATGTATACAATGTGAATGTTTTGAAGTGTTGCACTTCAATCACGACACCTTCTAGGTTTAATGTGTAAGAGAGAGAGAGAGAGAGCTTAGGTGGTAAAATATGGAATGCATATCTGTAGGACATGTAGGAGTTGGTCTCTTATCAATGGAGTACAATATATATGCAAAATATGTTGATTGAAGAAATTTATGCAAGTCTTCTATTTAAAAAACATTAATTTATTGTGCTACTTCAGATTTACTTGTATTAATCATAAATGTGACATATTAAAATAGTCCTATCATATGTATAGGATACCAGTATGCATGATTTGGATGAAAAGCAAGAAGATTCTGTAAGTATGGTAAAATTAAATTTATGGCAATGGGTAGTATAGTAACTGTACTTCACTTCTGTCCTGTTTCAGTATTATGAAATACCCGGTATCTGAAAAATATGATATCATTTTTTTTAGGAGATAATTAACTGTTACTTGAGTATTTAATGAATGATCCAAAGAATCTGTGTCAAACCTGCACATAAAAATGCTGGATAAGTTTTTATGTGTTTCATGACCAACCAGAATAATGCAAGAGTATCTGTATACCTTTATTGAAGGTTGGAACATGTTAGATGGAATATTATATGTTCATATTAGTTCATGTAGAAGATGATACTGAAGATTTGTATTTATTGATCTGTTACTAGGTAGGGAACCATAGAGTATTTAATTAAAACAACAAATGCAATATACATGTTCAGTCACAATTGATACACTGTCAACTGTGTTTAAAAAAAATAGTCTATCATCTTTAGGAACAAAAGAGCTGTCCATCTCAAGATTGTGATTCCAAGGCAGCTGGAATGTCCACTGACAAGGTAAGACTAAACACTATAGTATGCACTGTTTTCGTCCGTCGGCGTGCGGGCGTGCGTTGTGCATAAACTTTTCACTCTTTCAACTTCTTCTAAAGAACCACGGGGCTAATTTCCACCAAACTTGCCACAAACTATCCTTGGGTAAAGATGATTCAAGATTGTTCAAATGAAGGGCCACGCCTTCTTCCAAGGGGAGATAATTAAGAATTAGTGAAAAATTAATGGTATCTTTTAAAAATCTTCTCCTGAAGAACCACTGGACCAGGTAAGATGAAACCTATATGGAAACATCATCAGGTAGTGTAGACTCAAGTTTGTTAAAATCATGACCCCCAGGGGTAGGGTGGGGCCACAATGGAAGATCAAAGTTTTACATAGAGATATATAGGAAAAATCTTAAAAAATCTTCTTCTCAGGAACAGCTAAGCCCTGATTGGTCACATTTATATGGAAGCATCCTCATTTGAACACAAGGAGCCTAATAACGGACATCACATAAGCATTAAACGACGTCACAATGTAAACAATTGTTACGGAACAGTTTGCTTAACTCAGAGAAAATGAACTTTATTAAAAAATCTTTGAAAAATCTTGAAATTCGTTAAGTAGACACTTAGAGGGGTAATACAGAAATATATGGGGTCCTTGAAAAAATGCATATTGGGCTGGGCTAAAGCCTCGCCCAATATGCATTTTTTTTTTCAAGAACCATATATTTCTATATTACCCCTCTAAGTGTCTACTTAACTAATTATGTCAGTTCCACCCCTGTTTTTCACTTGTTGGTTCCAATCATCATCAGATAAAGGTACAAAAGTATTAACTTTCAAATCCTGTAGTGAAATCTTTGTATTTTATTTTAGTGTCTAATGACATGTATTTCTTGACCTTATACATGTATATGTATATATATATATATAAATATGTACTGTGTAGATTTTTCATTTTGTTTTAATTTAAGGAGTATGAGTAGGACACAATCATTGATTCCATTGGAGAACACAGCTCACTATCTCTGCAAGAGTTATATTATAGTAACATCACACAAAACAGTTTTACTTATATTTAGTATAATAATGCACCATAATATAATAATAAAAGCTAACTTTCAAACTACACTTGATATTTTAAGGTTTATCATGACCAATATGCTTTTAAATATAAATATTTGACATTCATTCTCTTCTTTAATAGGTAGCAGCTACATTTGCAGACCAACTGTGCAGTTCCGTTGCAGAAGTCTCTCGCTCAAGGTTATCAACTGCAACTGTTTTTAGCTCACCTGATCCCTAGGTTCAAGTGACTTTTTCTGATCAGCTGTCGTCTGTAGTCTGTCTGTTAACCTTTTGTATTCTCTACTGCTCAAGTACTACTGGGTCAAATTTATCCAAACTTGTCACAGAACCTTTGGGTGGGCCACAATAGACAACCAAGTTATGTAGAAATATGTAGGAAAAATGTTTAAAATTTTCTTCTCATAAACCACTGGGCAAGAAAAGAAGAAACTTGTATGAAAGATTCCTGATAAAAAGTAGATTCTTTAAAGTTTGTTCAAATCATAATCTTAGGGTGTAGGATTTACTTCTGATTGGAAAATAATTTCATAAGTCTTCTGATAACATGGCCAAGGTGACTCAGGTGAGTGTCGTGGACCATGGGCCTCATTCTATATTAAATTGAAAGCATTTTAGGAGCCTGAAACATCAAAGAGCCAATTAAAATACTCGTGGGGCTGTTTATGATTGTCATTTCTGTAAGAGCATCCTTGATTTACAATATGTAAAAGGGTTTCAAGTAGTTTCATTGTTCCTCTGAATCATAGAGTTATACTCTGTCTGTGAGGAGTGCATTTTGGTTGCCATGACACATCTAGTTGTATATTCACATTGTTTATGCCAAGGAATGTTGCAATTTGAGTGCTGTAACTCTTCTTATTTAAATAATATACTGTTTAATCTTTTATTTTTAATAAAATGTTTTGTCAAATTTATTTATAGCACAGACCCTCAAATCCCTCATCTCATTATGCTAGGTAAGTAACTGAGTTGATTTATAATGAATGCACAAAGGGGCACAATAGTTGGCTTTACAGTTGCACGACATTGGTGACCTAAATAAGGAATAGAAAACACGTGCAACTATCTGTATCCAATTTCTTATTGTAAATCCAGTATTTAAACTGTCAAGGACCTATATATGCATGTATGTACATGTACTAAATTATTAATGTAAAAATGCTTGCTGGAATATTTAATATTTTTGAGAAAAAATTGAAAAATACGATAAGTACATGACATCATACTTTTTCAGTTCTCAGGATTACATGGACATTGTGGATAGTGAAGATGAAGAATTGGAGAGGGCCATCCAAGCTAGCATGGTGGAATTTGAACAGAAAAAGTATTTTCTTTCCCCCAATTTTATTTTTTGTACATGTATTGATAGATAATTTGCTGAACTTTTAATTTTTTGATCCACTACTACATAAAGCTAATTTTCTTTTTGAAAACAGAACTCATTTTTTATTTTATAGTTTAAATATAATGCAGGGAATTGATTATTAGCTCAACATAGCCTTGCTCAAGTGAGCTTTTCTGATTGGAGAGTGTCCAATGTCAGAATGTCCTGAATGTCCATCTGTCTTTCTGTAAACTTTTAGTTTTTCACCTCTTCTCAAGAACCACTTAGCCAATTTCAACCAAACTTGCCACAGAGCATTCCTGGGTGAAGTAGATTTTAGTTTGTTCAATGAAGGGCAATGTTTTCTTTCAAGGAGAGATAATTAATAATAATTAGTGAAAAGAGCTAAAGCCACGAACCATCATATTTGGCCCTGTGTTTTTCACAAAAATAAAGTTTCGGTTCAAGAAGAGTACTATACGTTAAATATTAGAGGACAACATTCTTCTTTTCCATACATAACTTATATCGTTATATAATGCGCCATTAAACACGTGCGACGGTTGGAAAATGCGAAGGTTTCATAAAAACGTTAAAAAATGCCGTTTTTTCGACAGATTTTCCCAAAGTTAGATGTGGCCACAGTCAAGAACAACTTTTATACTTTCCATAGATATAGATATTACCGATACAAATCTTTATGTTTAATATCGTTGTTGTTCGTGGCTGTGGCCAATATGAAATTTGATTTTATATTTAAATTTTGATGGATCAAATAATCATTAATTTGTAGATCAATCGTTTACATTCAATTCATGTAATAATAAAAAATATAAATTTCACAAAATATGCTAGAAAATCAGTAAATTGTTCATTTAAAACGCTAAATGCGAAAAATAGTCAACTACATACATTTTCTGAAATAAATGTCTGGAAAAACTTTGTGGTTTTTACTATGACTAGGTCATTATGTATGACGTTACTAGTAATACGTCAGTTGTGACGTCATAAAGGCTGTAAATTATTTGGGATGTTGCTGAAAAGCTTTTAACGCTCTAGATAGTGCCCCTACATGTATTTACATGTATATGATTTAATTACATGTAAACCCAACTGGATGATACCATCAAATTATAAGTTATCAGAAACTCCCGCCACGGTGTCTTTCTTTACTACCCCTCCCCTCCCCTCCCTGAAATAATTCAAAATACTGTTGTTAATAGTGTTATCAGGCATGACTTAAATTGTAAACAAATTAATAGAGAGTGTAGCAAAGATATCACGCTATACCTTTTTAAAACAGGCGAAATAATAATGATATGGGTTGCTGTCCAAAGTGAAAATTTAAAAAAAAAATGAAAAAAAGGAATGAAAAAAATACGCATTAAGATAATCATCTGCATTTCCGCACCGAAATCCACCTTTTTTATGTACATGCAGAAGAATCATCTCAGTTGATTAACAAAATTCAGTTATATCCATGGCTTATACATGCTGATACAAAATAATGTATAGTTATAGTATACAGTTATGTGAGCACCGATATCGGGTTCCGTCAAAACACTTGCAATTGCACATGACGATCCCGCGCCCGTGATCAAAAACAGAAGAATATATCGGTATATTTTTAATATGTCTGTATTTATTAAAATCGAAGTGAGGCTATTGATGCATATGTACATAAAATATATACCCGATCTTGTCATCCATTGTGAAACATAATTCAAATATACCCCCAGTGAGTAAAATTGCATTAAATGCATGTCGTATGTCTTAGACATCAGTATAAAATGTTTATGCATTTTTTGTACTGTGCTCCAAATATTTCATTGTAACTAACACAATTTAATTATTAGTATAGTTATGCTTCAGATCGTCAGTCAGTGAAAGGGTAGTGATTATAGGTCTATTTAGACAAGACATAAATTAAATAAATAAGTACACTACATATAATTTACCCAAAGTTTTTATCCGTCATCATCTCTTCATTGCAACTTTATTAGTATACGGTTTTATCTAAGAATTCAGCGATGTGAAAACACATAGAGAGAGAGAGAGAGAGATATCTTAGAATGTTTTAAAAAAACAAATCAATAAAACGGGAATATGTTCTTTAAAACGTATGGCCGTAAGTTGTTTATAGCTAGATTTTTTTAAACCCAACGAAGTAGATTTTTTGGATAATAATTTTTACTCTTTTTTTTAATCTATTGTCAGCTTATTCTGGTTAGTACACTTGTACCTCCTCCCTCAGTATAAACTATTAGTATCATGATATGTAGAATGGTAGATCCAAGACTTCCAGTTGAGATTGAAAAAAAGAGGGGGGGGGGGTGTTACAAACTAATGGCAACAAAATTTTCATCTAATGTAGTTATTTTTATTTTATTCTCTTAGGTTGTCTTGAATTTAACTTTCTTTATTGTTAATTAATAGAAATCAATCTAGAAATTGAAAATCGTTAAAGACTTTCCTACTCCTCTTATTTTTTCCTCAATGAGAAGGGGGGTGGGGACTGGTTTGGCAGCGCCTCTTTTCACGAGAAAAAAATCAAAGAAAATTGAAAAAAAAAATATGTACGGACAACTCTTATTGCTTCTCCGACTAAAATATTTTTAAGCAAGCTTTTGTTGATTAAAATCAATCTTGTGCTGATTGTGAGACAATAAAACAAGGATAAATGAACACCTGTACATGTATTTCAATTATGATAGTGACCCACATATCAGCAATATCAGTGTAGCTCTACTCTTTTTATAAACCATAAAAACCATAATGTGCAAATGAAATCGAAAGTGTGGATTTTACACAATGGTTACGTGTGATAATAATGAAAAATTCCTCGTGCTTAATCTTTTGATACATTTACATGGAAAATAATCATAGAATTTTCGCAGACTCTACCTTTACAAAATTCCTGCAGATATTAAGGTATTTGGAGAAAAAAAATTCGAATATTTTGCAAAAAAATGGGGGGTTGGGGGTTCTAGCAAATACTGTTAAATATATAATAATGGACAGTGACGAGTGATTTTTTAACGAATTTATTTTTCTTAAGAATATTTCTTGAAGTGTACTCTACTGTTTTCCATATTACTCCAAAGAAACTTACATTTAGGGCTAGAATGTTTTGATGAGTTCTGTTTACTAATTAAACCATTCTGATAAATTGCGAAATCCCTTTCCAATTAATCTAAAATTTTCCCTGTTTCTGTATCGAAAACAACGTTCAAATTATTGTTACAAATGAATAAATGGATTAGAAACAAAGTCCTTCCAACTTTTTCCTTCTTCCTCTTGTCCAAATAATTTAGATCTTTTATACGTTAAAATACTCGCAATATCAGGATCTAAGAATTTTGCATTGAAAGTCTCTTTCAATTTAAACAAAACCTTTTTGCAATTAAACTTTTACCTACACTGTAGTTATAGAATTAGCTCTTCAGTTCAGAAACATTCGTTTCAAGATCATTTCAGGTATGTTGTCAATTATTTTTTTTTCCGACTGCCCACTTCCCAACTTTGAAAAACGATACTACGTGCCTGGACGCACATGCCAAAGATCAGCTTAATATCTGCTGGCCTGTAGGGGAAAATCCGGAAAACTTAGTTGGTCAGACTATCGGCATTTGAAGCATGTCGTATATTGTTTATGATGATCTATACACAATACTTCACTAGGAGCGAAGCATCGCTCAAAAATGTGTTGAAGGGATATAAATAGAATGTTCCTTTTTTTAATATTATCATAGGGACCAGGTAGAATGAAAATATTCCAAGACAGTCACACAGATTATTATACTCCTGCTTGAAAAGTTGGGGTATATAGTGATGGGGGTGTCCTTTCCGTCCGTCTGTGCGTCCGTCCATTACGCTTTGGGGTACACATCTCTTATCCGCAACTCCTCCTATACCACTCAATAAAATTTAATGATACTTTCGCAGAATCTTTGTAGATAGTGCCATTGTGCACCTCCTATTTCACTTTTTGATCGGACACATATTTCAGGTTTCCAATAGCAAAACATAGACACTGCCATTCTTTAAATAATATTTAGGGTACCCATCTCTTATCCGCAACTCCTCTTATACGCCTGAATAAATTAAAGATTTAGTGATATTTTCACAGAATCTTTTTACATTGTGCCATTGTGCACCTCCCATTTCACTTTTGATCAGACACATATTTCGGGTCTCCCATAGCAAAACATGGACTTTGCCATTATAAATATATGATAGGCGGGGTATCATTTTGTGAGCTCAGTGCTCACAGTACCTCTAGTTTTTACTTCATGTATCTATATAATTCAATCAGTTAAACACGAGGTTACCATAAAGACGGCAAGTTAAATCAAGTTCCAAATGCTTTTAATCGTCTTAAATTAATTATGATGTTTATTATATTATTAATACTAGTTTTAATTCAAAGTCACATATTCATACATGCAAAATCGATCAAGGAAATTTTTCCGCCCTACGACGTTACGTTACAGAAAATGACGTTCTACTAGCATTTTTCTTTTAAAACACCACCATACTTCAAACTCTCTTTTTCAAAAAATATAATCGATATCGAAAAAAGAAAAACGGCAAAGCAAAGCTAAAGGTCTTCACTATCAATTGACAAAAACCCGTTAATTTTTGACACAGGGCCATTTTTGATGGTTCGTGGCTCTTGCTCTTTAATGGCATCTTTAAAAATCTTCTTCTCAATAACACTGGTCCAGAAAAGACGAAACATGTGAAAGCCTTTTTATAGTGTAGATTCAAATTTATTCAAATCATGATCCCTGGGGTAGGATGGGGCAATCAAAAATTAAGAATATAAAATTTAAAAAGAATATAAAAATTTGAAAATCTTTTCAAGAACAGCAAAGTCATGATTTGTCATGTTTATATGGAGCATCCTCAGATAGTATATAGTATACATTCAAGTTTATTCAAATTATGCCCCCCTCCCTTCCCCTTCTTCTCTGTTCCTGGGTGAACTTGGTGCATGGTTATAATGACTTCCATTGGTTTAGGGTCACCAGGTCAAAAGTTAAGGTCAACTTGGACATGGGAAGATCTTGACCCTTAATAAAATATTTTCAGAAACCTTTTCTTGATAAAAGTCAAACTTGGTGCATTAGTTCCCATTTAGGAGTAGAAAGGCATTGTAGGTGATAAAATTGCAGATAAAAATAACTCCATTCCTGGTCTTGTCTTTTCAGAAGTGATCAAATATTTTGTAAACTAATGAGATCCCATTCAAACCACATAATTTCTGGTTCCTTGTAAATGATATGTTCAATGGTCCCTGGGTCTATTTTGAAATATGGCCAAATATGTTCTCAAGGGGATTATCTCAAAAATACATGTGCACAAGCACCATTATTCCTGCTTTACTGATAAATCGAAATGTATTTTAGAACTTCAGCTGCAATAAACCAATGTAAAACAGGAATGGATGATGTAGCAGGATTTTGGAAGCTAGTTGCAGCAAACTCTACACAGTTTAGATCTCTGTTTTGTCACCAATGTTTACCGTTAACCAAGGAAAAATTTGAGTCCCTCCTCAAGATAAATTTTTCTGACGAGGGATCAAACAAAAGATCACAAGAGGAAGACACAGTATATTCCTGGGAGTTATTCTTGCAGGATGTTAGTGGTGAGAAACTTTTTATGCCTCCGGATCGAAATATCCTGGGGGTATATTGTTTTTGTCCTGTCAGTCTGTTTGTCTGTCTGTCTGTTGTCAACTTTAACCTTGCCCATAACTTTTGATTGGTTGGAGCTATGACTTTCATATTTCACATGTGTATTCCTTGTGACAAGACCTTCATATTTGACCTTTTGACCTTGACCTTGGAGTTTGACCCACTTTAACAAAATTTTATGAGACTTTAACCTTGGCCATAACTTTTGAACAGTTGGTGCTTGGGGTTTCAAACTTCACATGTGTATTCCTTATGACAAGACCTTCCTCTGGATATTAACCTCTTTGACCTTGACCTAGGAGTTTGACCTACTTTTGAAAAACTTTAACCTTGGCCATAGCTTTTGAACGGTTGGAGCTAGGGCTTTCATACTTCACATATGTAATCCTTGTGACAAGTCCTTCCTTTGGACACCAACCACTTTGACCTTTTGACCTTGACCTAGGAGTTTGACCTTCTTTTAAAAACTTTAACCTTGGCCTTAACTTTTGCATAGTTGGTGCTAGGGCTTTCAAACTTCACATATGTAATCCTTGTGACAAGTCCTTCCTTTGGACACCAACCACTTTGACCTTTTGACCTTGACCTAGGAGTTTGACCTTCTTTTGAAAAACTTTAACCTTGGCCATAACTTTGGAATGGTGTGTTAGGGCTTTCATACTTCACATATGTAATCCTTGTGACAAGACCTTCCTTAGGACACCAACAACTTTGACCTTTACTATGACGTTTTACTTACTTTTAAAAAGCTTTAACCTTTGCCATAACTTTTGAGCAGTTGCAGCTAGGGCTTTCATATTTCACAGGTATATTCCTCGAGACAAGACCTTTCTTTGGGCACCAACATTTTTCATCTTTTGGCCTGGATTTTGACTTGCTTTTGAGAAACTTTACTTTAACCTTCGCCATAAGCTGCCATACGGGGGCATCAGTGTTTCACAAACACATCTTGTTCAACTTGAACTTTTCAACTTTTTGGAGATGTATTTCATGAGATATCATTAGGATATCATTTTAAGTGAATTAAGAGTGTGGTTGTCTTTGTACACACATTCATTTTACCCTGCAATCTTTTGTAGATGGAAATATTCAAGCCACACTGGAAGAACTCCTCTCTTTCATCACAGGAGCGGATCAGGTCCCACCCACTGGGTTCCCAAAATGCATAGATATTATATTCTATGCTAGTGAGATCGGTGTGAAAAGATTACCACATGCCTCTACCTGTTCCTTAGAATTTTACTTACCAGGAGGTGTTAGTGATCCAAACACATTTAGAGACATGATGTTAATGTCGTTGAAAGAGTCAATGGGATTTGAGAAAATATAAATGTTCAGAAAGTCTTGGATGCACATTATACACTACAGTCCAGGAATAGTTATACACATGGAAGATAGGCCTTGTAAATTTATACAATGAAGTGAATGTACACATAAGCTGTTCTGTTAGCATCAGCAGAATAACTTTTACATACCAAAATTAAAAATTAGCAGTTTCAACAAAGGTAGCACATATAGCAATTTTAAATTTGTATTGAGAACAAACTGCAGAATGTTATACTTGCAACAATGTTTTTAATTTGAACAACTTTCTTAAATTACCAAGTCCGACTTACAGATGCAAACATTTTTTTTATTGTTAGTGTTCATCTTTTCAATGGAGCATTTGGAAAAAAAAATGTTTTGAAATGCACCTTTGCTCAAATTGTCACTTATTTCAATGAAGTTACTGTTGTTGTTTTTTTTTTTTTAAAGAAGTCTTTGTTACATAATTTAAGCTTTGTAGAAAATGTCTTCTATGTGAATGCCCTCCAATCATTTTTTCTTATACAGATAGAAAATACCAGTATGCTGTAATTTGTTGTTAGCATGAACACAATTATTTAGATAAATATAAACATAAAAGAAGTTCATTTGTACTTGTATTTTTACAGAAACAAAAAATTGTGATATTTTGAATGATCATCTGTGTTTGATATGTTTACCCTATTTTAAGAAGCATTGTATAATAGACATGTCAATTGTTTGGCATTATATTACAATATCAACTACATGGTTTACAACTATGCTTAATACATTGTAGTGTTTTTTCATTTCACTTGCAAAGTCAATTTGAAGCATAGAACTTGATATAGATATTTTTTCTAAGCTTCTAGATTTTAATTTGCATAGAGATTAATTTGTTCCAAATTGATGAACATCAGTGGCACATAATTTTTTTTGTCCCACCTTGAATATGGCTGGGGTATATAGTGTTTGTAGTGTCCATCTTTCGTCTGCATCTGTGTCACCCTTTGCGTTTAGCTCAAGTTCCAATGAAACTCTTTAAGATACTTTGACAATCCGTACACTGATGCATATAGATGAAAATTATTGAACTGTGGAAATTTTCTGACCTTGACCTTACTATTCATTATTTTGTGTTTAGGTAAAATAACTAAGATATTTTTATCAGAATTCATACTGATACAATCTAACTGTGACTTAATTTTCTGACCTTGACCTTCCCTATGACCTTGACTTCATATTAATTCTGGTTTTATAGAGATTAGGAAAAAACTCATATTTTCGTCAAAACTCATGCACTGATGCATATTGGTGGCAGTGTAACAGAGTTTCTGCATTTGATGTTGAATGAATTAAAACACCAGTTAGGGTTCGTTCTGTTTATTGTATAGTTAAATAATATTGCCCTGAAATATATAACATCAATATTGAGAATATGATAAAATCATTAAAGTGCACAATCCAATGTTATACACGATACTGCATAAAGGGAGATAACTCTTACATTCATTATACGTAATCCAATACCACCTTTGAATTATATTTTGTGCATACAATTAAAATACTTAACAACATATATATATATATATATATATATATATATATATATATATATATATATATATATATATATATATTACTATTTAAGCTTATAATATCTTCATAGACATTACATACTTTTTGTAAATAAACAATAGATCATAAAAACAATAGCATACCATTCTCAGGGAATAGGCAAGCTCCCGCATATAAGTGCAGAGTGCAAAATATCTTGACAAAGAGTGACCAGAATAACCTAGAATATTTAGAGGGAATTTGACAAACCAATAAAATGCAAGAACACAAAACTTAAACCCAATATATATAGTTTATAAAAAATAAAGATTACCCTCATTTTGTTCTTTAGTATTAAAGGTTATTAAGTTCTTGAGAAGACTCCATACATCAATACATCTCCGAGAGTTTTTACCATACATACTTAAATATGTATAAATTTGCTAAATGACATAATTAACTTGAAACAGTGAGACTTAATGCAGCTGTTATATGGGATGAATCAATCTCGGACTAAAAAAGAAAGGTACATTTTTTTATGCACTGTTGCAATACTAAGAAATGTTCTTTGGATGAGGCATTCATGTCCTATGGAAGTTTTTCTAGTTATTTTTGTGACATTCTTGTACAGTTTATGAAGACTTTTAGTACATTAAAGGCATTTTAAAACTCTAACTTGTTCACTTGACAATTTTATGCTTCTCTACAATATTTTGGAGGAGCTTAGAGTAACCTTATTTTCATCTAAGCTTGTATCTTTATAACTGAAGTAGGTTTTCATCATGCATTCAATATGAAGCAAGATGTCAACTTTTTCTACAGAAATATGCAAAATGCTGCAAGGTGCAGTTGACCTGAACATGTTTATTTGGGTAAATGATTTTAGTACCAGCAATAGATTGTGTACTCTTAGGTACATATTTATATCTGTATAAACTAGTACCAGGACAATTGGTAATCCCTTAAAAGGTGGTGTATTTTAAAAGTAAAACTGAACATCCTGATAGGATGATTGAAATTGCAATTGGCCAAGTTTTTATATGGGTGCAAATCCCATCAGAATGGACAAAGCAAACTAGAATATATTAGCAAGGGAGCTAAAGTTGTGTTCAAAGTTTTATTTCTAAAGTGTAAGCTTGACAAGCAAGTGTAATCCACGGTCAGAATATTCAAACATATTAATGAGATAGTAATCAATTTTTACAATTCATCTTGGTTTAAAAGAGAGTATAAATTTTGCTTTGCTGCTCTGAATAAGTCTATCCCAAGATTTTCACTTAAATCTAGAGGGTTTACTGATGATGTTAGCCTTTCAAAGATCAAATCCAATTGTGTTGGCAAACCAGGCATTTGAAATGTTTCTTGATTATCATGCAGTTCCTCGTCATATGATTCATGGTCTGGTGCTTCTTGGGGGTCTATTCCAAAGGTCTCGATATCTGATATAGGAATGTCTTCATTCAACTCAAAAACACAATTACCAACAGAGTTTTGCCGATTACGGTTGATCATTCCATTGATCCACATTTTATATGGACTCCAGTGGTGCTCAGTCCGCATGCTATGGCAGTTGTATGCATTTTTGAACTCTGTCAATGCCACATTAATTCTTGGAATGAATATATAGTGAAGACAAAGCATATCTATGTGATTTTCCATATCTAGTTCACTTATGCTTTCAAGATAATAAAACAAAGAGTAATATGTTTGAATTACAGAGTAAAACACATCTCTCCATAATCTCTCTATTCGAGAATTGTGTATGGACCTTCCTGCAATAAAGCTGCCACGATTTCTTCCTCTGGTTTGCTCCATATACCTGGCAACCTCAACATTCTCGGAACCTTTATCCCCTCTGACTCTTGAGGGTAAAGAAAATGTTTCAACAGCTTCCATAAACAGATTTAACACAGTTTCAGCAAGGTTATTGTTGGAACACTTTAAATAAACAATAAGTCGACTAAATCCATCTATACCACCATGGGTAACCATTTTCCACCTTATGAGTTTGTGGTGCCCATCGATATGCCATAGTGCATTTGGTCCAGGAACACTGTATGCCCTCCTATAGGTCATCAGACCCCACCGTAATGCTGAATTAACAGGATCAAGTGCTCTCAAAACTCTTCGAATCCTTCTGTGTTGTACAGTTATGCCATTTGACCGTAAATGTCCAATCACTAAAGAAACCCCACTATGAGGATGCTGGTCTTTTATGTTCTTTATTATTGTTGACAATTCTTCATCCCCAATTTCTGTGTATCTTTGAAAATCCACTTCATTTTTCAACCTCCTCCACAATGTGGTTCTATGAATTAGAAAGATCCTGGCGACTTCCGTATATTTAAACCCATGGTTCAATAAATAAATCACTTGCTCTACATTTATAAATGCTGTAGGTCTGCCTACATGTCCTGTATGCAAGACCTCCCCTGCACCATTCACAATTGCTGGGACACTGCATCGAGGAGATTGAATGTCTTGGATAATTTTTCTTACATAACTAAAATGATCCAGAAGAATTTCCACAGATTGATGTAAATCTGGTGATGCCTGGTTTCTAAAGGATGGATGTGATTCAATGAATGATAGGGTATTAATTGCTCCTCTTACTCTTTCCTGGCCAAATTCAATGTCATCATGAGTAAATCTGTCTTTCTCCTCAAAAAACTCGAACAACTCCAAAAGGCTATTGAAGAATGCTATGAAATCTCCTTCCATTTCACAAATATCTCTGTCAGCCATCCCTAATCTGAAAAGTATCAACTGAACAATAAAGTGACCATTGTGATTTCAAATATTTTACCATGTTAAAAGGGTTAGGGTTATAAAATTGACAAGTTTTTCCATAGGTTCCTTAAGAGACCATAAAGATGGTTGGATATGTGGAGAAAAAAATGCCCATGTTTCGACAAATAAAGTGAAAAATTTACCATTTTAAAAAAAATTTCTTTGATATTCCATTGTTATTTGTTGCTCATTTTTATAATTGCTAGCTGTTAATGACCATCATCTATGAGAAAATATTAATTAAATGTCAGCTAAAACATGTTTGCATGCGCCAAAGTGTCATCTTTTTCTATTTGCATTGAAATTATACTATTATATGAATTGAACATATTTTATTGACAAAGTCAAAAGGATCGGACACAAGTTCAGAAACTTAGATAGTCTTCTCCTAATACAACATTTTGTTAAAATTGCCAAAATAAAAAAGATATATACATATGGTCTACTACATATACGTAGTTATAGAAAGAAAAAAAAAAGTTTTAAGTGTACAAGTATAACTTGAATTGGTAAGAAGAAAATTTTTTTTAAAAAGTAAGCTTATTTTGAAAAACGACCACATTCATTTAAGAAAGTTTGAATGGTTTTGAAAAGTTCAACATTTTGTTCAATAGTAAGAGAATCATCTCCCCATAACATTAAATGTACATCTATAACATATAAATAATTAAATGATAAAAGCTTATTCATTAAGGAATTCCTTGCTTTTACATAATATTTACAAGCAAAAAACAAATGATATGCATCTTCTAGTAGTCCACAAGAACAATTAGGACTGGTTATTAGGTTACAGCGATATAAGTCAGACTTTAAAATACAATTATGTCTTAATCTTGTATGAATTATGTTCAAAAACCTTTTTCCATATGAAAAATATTTCTGAGGTTTTGCAATACTGTTGTGCAGATAGTTTTTAAAAATTTTGATAGAAGTTGCCTCCCTTGTTTTAAGACTAAGGGAATTCCACTTTCTAACTGTATCAGGAATAAATGATTTATTATATAGTTCTAATCTGTATTTTGGCAAAGAATAATTTAAGAAATTCCTGGTAGTGTATCCTGAAATATTGCCTCTTGTATCAGGTACTAAATTTTGTAAATAATTAGGTACTAAATTATTGTGCATTTTATACATTGTTATTAATTTTGCTCTGTTTCTTCTGTATTCCAATGGTTCCCAACCTGTTTCCAAATATAATGAATTTCTTGAAGCAATAATTGTAAGCCCAGTAACTATTCTTGCAGCAAATAATTGTACTTTTTCAAGATTCTCAATGTCTGTTTTTGTGCATCCAGACCAAACTTCAACAGCATATTCAAGTTGTGGTCTAATAAAAGATATATACATCTGGGATAGAATATCTCTTGACACAGTAAATTTTAGTTTTTTAAGAAGCCCCAGTTTTTTGTATGCTTTCTTTATAATGATATCAATATGATCAGACCATCCTAAGTTGGACGACAGAAGTATCCCAAGATGTTTGTGTTCTGTAACATATTCCAATTGGCAATTGTCAAAATATAATTTAGGAAACTGCTGCATATTTTTTGAATTAAAAAATACGGCTTTGGTTTTCTGTGGGTTAAATTTCAATAACCATTTCTTTGACCATTCATCTAGTATTCTAAGATCATGGTTGAGATTTTGTTCAATATGATTAATATTATCTGAACATTGTTGTAAGGAATTATCATCAGCATATAATCTACAAACAGATATCATATTTTCAGCCACATCATTTACATACAGTAAAAATAACAAAGGACCAAGTACTGAGCCCTGAGGAACTCCAGCTTTTACATGTCCTACAGAGGAAAATTGATTTCTATACATGACTTGTTGTGTTCTATTGCTTAAATAACTATCAAACCAATCTAGCATATCACCATTGATTCCATACATTTTTAGTTTGTAAATTAAGCCTTACTATTATATGCGTATATATGTTTATAATTACAATGACAAGCAAGGACATACTGGAATAGGGGCAGGTCACAAAACAAAGGGTTACAATACAGTGAGAGGCTTCAAAGTTTTGAAAGGATATCTATTAAATGTTATCAATGAAACGATTTAGTCCATAACTCCTCAAATCAAAATATATGACCGATAAATTTGCCAACTATGTGTTTAATTTAGAGTAATAATAAAGTTACATTATCGCGTACATGTAACCACAGGACACGTGCACTTGTTTCACTAATAATTCTTTTAACTCATAGTATAATAATTATATTTTGGGCTAAAAAAATTATTACTGAAACAAGTGTCTGTGCCACAAGAGTGAAACTCCAAATAAAACCTAAACAGCCAAAGGAGATTAAATTAAAACACTTGTGCGTGAATCATATATTAAATAACTTGGTAAAACTAAATGTTTTTTCTTTGTTTTAATATCCCTACAGGCCATTCATTAAACTTACTTTTTTTCTGCGAAAAAAAGCTCCTTGCCTGGATAACACATGTAAACTTCCCGGAGCACCTCGGGCATTACCTAATTCGATATATGATTAGATTAAACCAATGAAATCCTTCGTAACAAACCAAAATAAACAATCCCTCGGATACAATACAAATAAAAAATTATACAATACAAATGGAAAATATAGAATATAAATAAAACATTATACAATACAAATAAAAAAATTATACAATACAAATGGAAAATATAGAATACAAATAAAAATTATACAATACAAATGGAAAATATAGAATACAAATAAAAAATTATACAATACAAATGGAAAATATACAATGCAAATAAAAAATTATACAATACAAATGGAAAATTATACAATACAAATGAAAAATTATACAATGCAAATGGAAAATTATACAATACAAATGGAAAATATAGAATACAAATGGAGAAATATACAATACAAATGGAAAATTATACAATACAAATGAAAAATTATACAATGCAAATGGAAAATTATACAATACAAATGAAAAATATACAATACAAATGGAGAAATATACAATACAAATGGAAAATTATACAATACAAATAGAAAAGATGGAATATTGCAACGTTTGACATGCCATACTAATGCAGGATAGAAAATAAGCTTTTAACAAAGCTATAATACATTTACATGTACGTCTTGCTCAGTTGTAGATAAGGTGGAAATTCCTGGATTACATACATTGGTTGTATCCTGTATTAAAAGAAATGCAGTGTAAATTTTACTATGAAGTAAAAGATTTTAATAGGAATTTATTCCCGTAATTTTTATTTATAAAAATACATAGACATTTATAAGGATACTTGTATAAGATATACAAGTTCACAGCTGGTCCATATCTTGTTGTCTTGGTTTCTGGTTCTTGCATGTGAAAAACTTTAGCAGTAAATGTAACCTAAAGTAGAAAGTTCAAAATAAAATATTCTGAGAGTTCAAGCATTTTTGTTTTTAGGTTTATTTCTATTTACATGATATATGTACTTACAAATGACTCGGCTGGACCGGAGTCTATGATATCTTTAATTTGCATCTCCTTACATGGCTTGAGGTTCGGTCGAAACGTGAAGTCCAACTTGGTTGGTACAAGGGTCGTGTTTCGATTGCATTTAACATCATACCCTGAGGATGATGTAAAACCTGAAGATGAAGAAACAAATGCAATAAAGTTTTGCCTTTGCTTCGTCTTAAATGTGTTATTTTAATAAGCACTGAATGATTTTAGTCTCACAAGTGAACGGTGTGTGCGAACAATTTGAGTAAGATGCATCAGAGGAATTTAGAGTATTATGAAAATTTGTTTGTACACACTGTTACATGAGACATCATCTTTCAAAAAAGAAAAAAAAATATAATGCTTATATTTACATTTTTTAACTGCCTGCCTTGTCTTCAAATATGATTAACATTTTAAAATCCTTGTATCATTTTTCCGGTAAAAACAACTGTTTTTGTTCAATGCAAGTGTGAATTTTGAACCTTGCATACAACACAGCTCTTGCAAATGTTTGTTTGTGATGTCAGAGTAAAAATCGACTCAACTTTTTTTACCTTCCCATTTGTGTTATTTAGTTTTGAATGCCAAAGCTTAACATACATTTTGTAAGCAAAATTCACTTTATAAGCAAAATACATGTGGACTATAAATATTATACATGTATATTGGTGGACATCATGAACACCATTTTTAAATTAAATGTTATTTGGGACATGGAGTGTTTTAAAAATTTTAATTAACTTGTCATGGAAGAGGAGAACAAATCAGTTGCTATGTTAGTGGCGTTTATTCCTTAAAGGAAAAAGATTGAAGCCTACACATTTTGACTTCAAGGAGTAAAAATCAAATATATAAAATTATTATACGGTTGAAGAAGATAAGGTATTTTGTCTATAAATTTTGTTTTATGTGAAATGTGAAACTTATTCTAGATGTCCATGATCAGTGTAAGAATTATAATTGATTATTTGAAATGTTTTTGGAAAGTGTTAAAAAAAACAAACAAACTAGTGTTCCAAGAAACACTAGCATTAGTGTTCCAAGGAACACGAACACGATAGTTCATATGTTTGCCTGCAAAGGAAAAAAAGCACCTATGGATAGTACAAGACTGCAAAAGAATTTGACAATCAAGGAAAATATGGTTCCCCAACCCTCAAATAAATAAACTGAAATAATTGTAAATAATTATTTAATCATTTTATAAATAAAAAATTACAACAATCCTCCAAAAGATTTCAGTTTGTCTTTACTGCAATTGTCAGTCAACATGCTCCATTGTGGAATCCTCTGATATCTCAAAGTTTTTCCTTGGCCCCATGGAGTTCAAGATAATAAGGTTTGACTGTACAAGTTTGTGTTGTAACTAAATATCATACAGTTTCAAAGTATAGTATCATAAGCTCATCATGTATAAATGCTAATTATCAAAACACTGCCTCTCAAAATTCAAAAGTTGTAAGTTAAACTAAACTTCCTAGGGTATTTTTTGCAAA